CAATAGCCAAAGGCCAGACATTTCACCTGCTTTATATATGTCTTTCATATTGTCTAGGGAGCCTAAAGCTTTCCAGGATATGGTATTGGTGAACAGGAAAATTAATATCTCTGTGTAGATGAGGAAACCAGTTCTAAGAGAGGGGTTGTAATATAAAAAGTAAAGCAGGGATATCATTGAAAAAAGATATATAGCCTTTGACAAGACTAAACATTTACTGGAGGTTTCAGTGAATATGGAAAAGGTCCTCAGTGATGGTAGAAGACTTAAACCTTTATCGATGGTCTCTATTGAAAAAAAAAAATCACACTTTTAAGATGGCTGGTGAGTACCTAGCATGGTGATTGATAGTATGTAAATAATATCTATGTGCCAAATGAGTGAAAGGATATGGTTGTTCTTTATGCCCAGAAACTACTTTTACAAGTGCACAATCTGCACAGGGTAGAAGAACATCAGAGTTACTTGGGACTCTTGTTTCCCATTGGCACCATGAAGGGACTGGGCCATTTTCCTACTTAAAAGGTATTGATATTTGGATGGCTTTAAATTACTCTAGAGACAGTGTTGTGGTAGCTCCCTGAGCCCTAAAGAGAAACTTTTTTTTAAAAGATTTTATTTATTTATTATGTATACAACATTCTGCTTCCATGGATATTTCCACATCAGAAGAGGGCACCAGATCTCATTACAGATGGCTGTGAGCCATCATGTGGTTGCTGGGAATTGAACTCAGGACCTCTGGAAGAGCAGTCAGTGCTGAGCCATCTCTCCAGCCCCCAAGAGAAACTTTTATACAGCTTAAAGGACAACCCAAACACCCTCTTCCCAAGTTAAAAAAAAATGTAGTTATTATCTTTGCCTAAAATCACTAAAGATACTTTTTACAAAAAGCACAATAAGTTTGTACTAAAAATGAATATATGTTAATAAACATCACCTGAAATCTGTTTTATGAGTGTTTTCACAGTATCTAAGGGGCCGCATTCCTCAGTCTTAATGCCTTCCCTGGTGCAGGGAAGGGGACATGTGACCAAAATGCTTTTGTGTGGTTACACATTTATATAATCCACCTCATGGTAGGCTTCAGTAGAGGCATGGTTTAGTTTGAGGCCAGCCTGAACCAGAGTCCCCATACAACCAGGCATGGTGATGTCTCTGTGATACCCCTGATCCTTACTTAGGTGAGATGGGAGGCAGAGATGGAAGTAACCAGCTAGCTACTTCCTGTGAGGTAGCAAAGAGACCCTGTCTCAAACAAGGTGGAAGTCAGGGACCAGCATCCAGATACCTGTTTGTCTTCTGACTTCTGTTCTTGGTTGAAGGGGAGCTTTGAATCCACAAGAAAAACAAACAACAAAACAACACCCAGTCTACAAAGAAATTCTTCTTTTTCCTACTTCCTACAGAGAAATAACCATGCAAGCTAGAATTCCTTTCTCTTATTTTCTGTATCCTTAGAAAAACACTCTCCTGTCCATGTTTTTTCTCTGTATGTTTCTCTTTGTTTCTATACATCCACTCACTGGCTGTTTATCCCTGGCCCCCCTTCTAAGTTCCATTCATGATTTTTTTTTCAGCTGCCTGATAGACTCTCTTGTCTCCTCATCCCTTCATTCCACACACTGCATTTGTATAACCCTCCCCCATTTACCTTTAAACAGAATCTTGCTTTGTAGCCCAGGCTGGACTTATAATAATAATATTCTTGTAATCCTACTACTAGAATTACAGGCATGCTGACATTCCTTTTTAGTTTAATATGATTCACTAGTAGGTCTGTTTCTTTTATGAGAAATCCTTCTCGGAACAGTAGGTGTAACTTACGTATGTCTTCTATTCCTTTCTGTCTCTCCCTCTCTTATTTCCATTGCAACCCCAAACTCAGACCCACAGTGCTACTTTTTCCAGAGCTTTATTTCCCAGAATAATACTAAATTAATTTTATCTACCTTATTAATATTGCCATTAAATAATTTTTACTTTCCACCTACTGTTGTGGAAAAAAATAATAATATGAAAATTGTTATTTTTGTACCCTTGTCTCAGCCTTACGTACATAAGTTCATATTTGAACTTTTATTTACTTGTATGGTTTTTTATATAATTTTTTTTCAAGTTGGATAGAGTGGCATTTCTGAGAATTTCTTTATTCCTTGGAAGCTCATATATTAAAACAACCCAAAGCTGAGGCTGTAGCTCAGTTGTAGTGCCTTGAATTGGATACCCAACATCACCAAAATAAACAAACTCTGGTTTCTCTTTATTTCAGGAAATTAATTTAGATCCAACCTCAGTTTCATTACACTTAAGTCCATTTATTCAACCATAAATAGCACACTTATTTGAATAACTTTTGATGTTTGGTTGGGCTTTTGGTTTTGGGTCTGTCTGCTAGTCTTGGTTGTCCTGTAACTTAGTGTCCATGCCACAGACTCATAGCAGCCCTCCTATATCAGCCTCAGCCAAGGATATAGGTGTGCACCATTGTACCAAGCTTTAGTTGTATTTTGTATTTTGGAGATTAATACTGAAACTTTTAAAAAGAGATTTGCTAGAGGATGACTAGGAAGATTTTTTTGTTTTTGTTTCCCATGATCACATTATTAGTTTTCTAAAGTAACATTTCATATAAGCTAGAAAACACTTGTTTCTTGAACAGTTATTCACAGTGTTCACACTATGGTAGAAACTAGCATAATTGCTAGATCTTCATCTTTGATGTGAAATTCTGATAATCACCCACAGCAAAAATTTTAGGATGCCTGCATACTTCTACGTTGTTCAAAAGACACCCACATTGCTATTTATCCTTGGGGAAAGTAGCTGATTAGGGACATACATATTCAGTTTCTTATAACAGAAATGAAAAGAGATGCCTTTTCTGTGCATATTATAGGCTTTCTTTTGCAGTGTGAAAACTAAGGACTTTATGCTTAAAGATTAATAAATTGATAGGCTTGTTTCTCCTTTCGGCTCTATTTGAATAATTGAACAGCTTGGGGGGGGGTGAAATCTGGATTAAGAGTTTCTATTTACTGTTTGGAATCAGCATTGACCCTCTGCTGTGTGGGAACATTTAACAATAGGAGTAAAGCCCAACTGGGATTGTGATCCACTGCCAAAGAAGAAACGATTTCTACACATTTCTGTTAAGGTTAATGACTGCTAGTTGCCATGTTTATACTAGATTCCACATAAAGAGAAGAACAGCAATAGACTAGAGCAGGGGAAGATTGGATGAGTATATAGATTTGACTATGTGGTGACACATAGACTTTCATAACTTATTTCTTTTAGCTATTATATTCAGAATTCACTTACTGATGTCAAAGCACAGATTCAGTGCTCAAAATATAGCTGTGTTTTGTTCCCTGTTGTTGAGAGTATAGATTAAGAACCATGGTGATGGTCATATTTTTAGACTTAGAGCATCTATCTTTCAAGCCATTTCCATGTACCCTTCATGTTTTCGTTAAGTCTTTGTAATACTAGTTTGGAGATGTCTTGCCTTGAATCCCAATAAGGACTGAACAGGTATTGAGAACAACTGAGCCAGAAAGCAGAGAATAAAAAACTAAGAACTATAGAAATAGACATAAAACTTTACCTGAGAAAGAAAGACTAATAGTGAGAATGCACTGTGTGGTTTGTGAAAAATCAGTAGAATTGAATGATTAAGAGCACGTAGAGCTGGGGTTCTGAAGGAATCCTAGGAAACTAGAGAATCTTTGGTATTGGCTGATGTGGAAGACTTTTAAGTCAGGTGGTGGTGCACACCTTTAATCCCAGCACTCTGGAAGGAGACTGAAACAGATGAATCTCTGAGTTTGAGGCCAACCTGGTCTACAAAGCTAGTTCTGGGGTAGCCAGGGCTACACAGAGAAACCCTGTCTTGAACAACAAACAAAGGAATCTTGAGTTATTAATGTTGATACTTTAAATGTGGAAAGGATGTGGCAGCTAGATGTGTAATTTTGTGCTAAAGAGCCAAGGCTTGACACTTTCTCTCTCTGTGTCTCTCTGTCTCTGTCTGTCTTTCCCTCTCTCTCCGATTCTCTCATCTTTGAAGTGATCTTACTAAGATTACCTGAGTCTGGGACAGGCTGGCCTTGAACTCACAGTCCTTCTGCCTGAACCTCCTGAATGTTGGGATTACAGGCCCATCTCTCCATATCCTAGAAACAGCTCTGAGTTTATTGACCTGTTGAGATTAATCCTGGCAGGCATCAGTCACTGCATACTTCAGATACCACTACAGTATAAAAGCATTCGTTATTATTATTTTCATTATTAGTTCAGACAGATAATGCCATGTTGCCTATACTGCTGCCCAGATTTTGAACTCAAACAACCAGTCTCTGCTTTATGTGTGTTGGGAATATAGATTGTACCTGTAAGCCCATTTTAAAAATGGGGATCATGAAAATGGGTTCATGTCATAGTGACACTTAATTTTTGGCTTCCTTTTACTTTATTGCTTTTTTTTTTTCTAAGGAAAAATATCGAGGGACCTATCTTTATTATTATATTAAATTACTTGAGTCGGCTGTGTAGGAAGAAAGGCTTATTTGGCTCACGGTTGTGAATGCTGAAAGCCCAGACAGCATGTTGTAGGCTTTGGTAAGGGCTTCCCTTTCTTTGACTGTGTCACCTTATAGTGCAGTCCAGTAGAAGGAGCATGTGCAGATGAGAGCATTACATCACCCACATCCAGCAGACATATGTTTATAGCATAGCTTCCCTGAAGGGACCTTGAACTACCTCTCTTTTTATGGTTCCACATTTCTAGTACCACTACACTGGGGACCAAACTCCTAATTCATGAACCTGTCTGTATAGGAAACACACTATGAAATTATCGCATTTCATTCTTAAGAAGTTGTGGTCATTCTACGTGTGGTTAACCATGTTTAGTTATGTTTGTTTGTTTTGTTTTTTTCAAGTGATTCAAGATTATACAATTCTTAATTTGCATTCATATTTCTTTCCATAACCAGGAACCTTTTGAGGATGGCTTTGCAAATGGAGAAGAAAGTACTCCAACCAGGGATGCTGTAGTTACATACACTGCCGAGAGTAAAGGAGTTGTAAAGTTTGGCTGGATCAAAGGCGTATTAGTATGTATGCATAGATTCCACTTGATGGTTACAGTCCTATTGATTAGAAAACCTAGCTGATGTTCTCAAGAGAATTACCATTTTTCTGCTTTAACTACTTGTTGTGAGTACTATGGAAGACCCAGTTAATGCCTTGTATGTTCTTTCTTTTGTGATAATATGTTCATTAGGGAAGAAATGTTTGTTATTATATACATCGTCTTGATAAAATTGGAAACTCACAACCCAAGTGCTGAATCAGTTAACAAAAAAAGGAACACAGAATAAAAAATTAATTAATATATGCCCAAGTTGTGGGAGTATCATACTTTAAATTTTTCAGAAATTGTGTGATCCTTTGACATTTGTGTTGGGGTACATGCAGTACCTAACTCTGCCTTAACCATTCATGATGGATGTTATGATTACATAGGCAAAACTTATATGATAAAGACAGATTGTAACTTTAAAGCTTGAAATCTTAGCCAGGTATGGTGGCACAGGCCTTTAGTCCCAGCACGTGGGAGGCAGAGGCAGGTAGGTGGGTCTCTGAGTTAAAAGCCAGCCTACTCTCTGTAGTGAGTTCTAGAACAGCCAGGGCTACACAGAAAAACCCTGTCTTCTAAAACAAAAACAAACAAACCAAATGAGTCAAAGTCTTAAAAACAATTTTCTGTTGTGTTTCTGACACTGCTGGGAGCACATTTACTTATAAACATAATTACATGGCACACACTTATGTCAGCTAACATAAGCTCTCGGTAAGCCACTTTGACTAACTTAAGGAAAAGGAGTTAGATTTCAAAACGCTTCCATAGTTTCAAGCACATTTTATCTTTTGGCTTGTTTAATTTTTACCTCTGTATCATTTATCTGTGATGTGAACTCTTTTCCTCCTTCCTCCCAGGTACGTTGTATGTTAAACATTTGGGGTGTGATGCTCTTTATTAGATTGTCATGGATTGTGGGTCAAGCTGGAATAGGTAAGTGAAGTTTTACACTGCTTGATCTATGTGTTATAATATCTATATGCCTTTCTGCAGTTGCTAACTGAGCTGTGTTACCTTTATTATGTAGATTGCTATCATAATTGACTTTCATAATTTTGACTTTATTTCTCAAAAATGATACCAGAATTAGGTAATTTATGCCCTATGTCTTAGTTATCTATTTCTGTGAAGAAATACCATGGCTAAAGCAACTTATAAAAGAAAACATTTAATTAGGGCTTGCTTAGTTTCAGAGAGTGAGTCCATGACCATCACAGTGGGGGGAGCATGACAGCAGGCATGCCCCTGCAGCAGTAGCTGAGACCTCGCTCCCTTCTGACCCATGAGCAGGGCTGGGCCAGGTGTGGGCTTTTGAAACCTCAAAGCCCCCCACTAACATACCTCCTCCAGCAAGCCCACACCCCCCTCCAGCATGCCCACACTTCTAACCCTTCCCAAACATTCCACCATCTAGAAATACCATTCAAATATGGGAGTATATGGGGGCCATTCTCATTTGAAACATCATAGTTCAATTCAGTGCTTAACCCTGCTAGTTCTAGGAAATATAAAGCTTAGGAGTATTAGGTTTTTAGTTTCTTTTTCCTCTTTAAAGGTCTCTCCGTCCTTGTAATAGCGATGGCCACTGTCGTGACAACTATCACAGGATTGTCTACTTCAGCAATAGCTACCAATGGGTTTGTAAGAGGAGGTGAGCCCAGCTTTCACAGGCCCTACCTGAAAGACACATTCATGCTTTTTAGGTTACTGTATCTCCTTTGCCTGTTCTATAAATCAGATCTGTGTTCTTGAGAGCTTGTACTTGGCAGACTTTGCTTGAGTCCTGTTGATTCTGCTCTTAGATAACACTGCTTCTCAGTTCCATCACTCAGACCTGCCTTCCTGCACTGCACCGACCAGTCTCTTCCCATCTGCAGCTGAATACAGCTTTAAAAAGTAGGCACCCATCACAGGCACCTTTAAAAGATGAACACTGTGTGAGTTTACCACTGAAATTATGAATTAGCCTACTCTATAGATTAGGTGAAGTGCATTTTACTTGTATTTCCGTCAGTAAGATAATTGTTGAGCACTTTGTGGCACATGCTGGGTTTGTAACAGTGTCAGGCAAGGTCCAGTTTTGTAAGGATGAAGATCATATAATAATAGTAGTCACTGTTTGTGCCCTAAGATCTGGGAGTGATACTATGGCTTTGACAACATACATTGTCTTGGAAGAATGCAACATTGCTGTTTATTACTGTTATCATTTGTATGACTAATGAGACCAGCTATGAACAATCATATTCATGTTTTAGTAAAATTTAAACTTGATGGAGATTATGCAGCTTGGTCTCAAATGTCTAAAAAAATTGTTTTTTTTTCTTTTTCTGAAATAATTGAAAGCCTCCTCATTTTGTAATGGTAAAGCCAAAACACTGAAATTGAGGAAAGCATCACATTTTTCTACATGTGACAAAGATCGCTGTCTTAGTAAAATTAGGCTATCATTGGTGATCAAGTTTTTGTTTTAAATCCAGTGTGTAGCTATGGATGACTAATATTACCAAGCAAGAAACTCCATAGTTCTTTCCTGGGATAGGAAAATTCCTTCAAATTGTAAATTTAAGATCAATGAAGCTACAAAGGGCAGTTCTGAAATTCCTGTTTTATTAATGCAGTTTTCACTACATGTTTCACTACACTCCTGTAAACATGAGCAGCTCAGATACCAGTCTTTTGGGTATTTCTTTCTAAAAATACACTCACCTACTTTGCTGAATCTGCTTTGTGAATTCCTTGGTGTAATTAAAAGAATTGTTGGCATTTAAAACCCTAACTTTTTCATTCTTTTTCTTAGGAGGAGCATATTATTTAATCTCTAGAAGTCTAGGGCCAGAATTTGGTGGTGCCATTGGCTTAATCTTTGCCTTTGCCAATGCAGTGGCAGTTGCTATGTATGTTGTTGGATTTGCAGAAACTGTGGTGGATCTGCTTAAGGTAATTAGACCTAATCACTCACTTGCCAAATCTTCACTTATAGGATACACACACATGCACATACCTTAACCTATATGTGAACTTTAAAAAATGCTACCAATGTTATTATCTCCTACAAGAAATTTTGCTTATGGAGTAGGAACTGTGCGGTTTTGACAATAGCATGAAGGTTTTTCCCTTTTGTATCATAAAAGACCAATAACGCATGAGTTCACTAATCACACCAAATGGAATACGTTTCCGATGTGCCACTTTAAAAAAACCTAATAGTACCAGTCAGAAGATAAATGGCTTGGTTAGCAATTCCTTTTTTTTTTTTTTTTTTGATTTATTGGGTCCATACCAATTATATACCAGTAATTGTAATTCAGTTAGATATATAAGGTAACTGAATGACAACTAATAGTAATTAGTATTTTTTTTCCTTGATTTTGAGACCGGGTGTTGCAATGTGGCTGGCTGGGAACTTGTAGTATAAACCAGACGAGCCTTGAAATTTCAATAGTCCTTCTGCCTCTGCCTCCCACATGCTGGGAATGGGCATGTATCACCATACTTACCTCTGTCCATTCCTTTAATAAGCATTGATTGAATATCTATATCTTAGGAGCTAGCTGTTTATTATATTTCTCTTTTGTAGGACCATTCCATACTTATGATAGATGAGATCAATGATATCCGAATTATTGGAGCCATTACAGTAGTGATTCTTCTGGGTATCTCAGTAGCTGGAATGGAGTGGGAAGCAAAGGTAAGTTGTGACTGAGCTTCTATAAGCACTTAGTCCATAAACCCAATCTTTTGGGAAACTTAAGCTGACTCTTAGAATTTAGTGGAAAGGTGGACATTTTTATAGACGTTTATGATGTGTAGGTTATTTGGCATTTAAAATAGTGTATTTGAAGGTAATCCATATTAAATCCAGTTCAACACTACTTTCCTCATTTATATGCTGTTTTTGATTGCATAAGAATTGAGCCTAAGGCCCCTTGCATGGTAGGCTTTATGTCTACCACTCAGTACATTCCAATCCTTCATTTATTTACATATGTAACACATTGAATTCGTTGAAAAAACTTATCTCATCCTACTTGGGCCACAGTTAATGTATAAGAAATACTTGCTGGACCAGCAAGACAGCTGAGACAGTGAGATGCCTTGTGGCCTTGGTTGGATTTCTGGAAGGCACAGAAAAGAGGAAGGGGAGTTGTCCTCTGAGATCCACACAGGCACTGCAGCACATGTGGTCCACTGTCACATAGTAGTCATGTTTTAAAAAGTTTTGTTTGCACATAGTATTTTTTTTTTTTTTTTTTGAGCAGTAGTTGTTGATCTCTCTGGCTTTCTGCCCTCCCAGTGTCACTGCTCCTAGTTTTCCCTACTTTGAATGTAGAGCAGTTGCAGGCAGGTCCACTGTGTTTGGACCTGACTGAAACTTGTTTTGGTCACAAGCATATTCTTCTCAAGATTATAGTCTTGGAGGAGAGGTAGGAGAGAGATGTATAGAATTAAAAGCCTGTGGTTTGGGTGGGGATATACCCATCTTTATGACTCATTTTAGAAACGAGTGGCACAATTCTACCCATAAGTGAACATTCTCAGATAGTTTTGTTTGAGACAGGGTCTCACTAACTAACTCAGAGCTCAGACTTGTAGTCCTGCCTCAGTTCCTGACAAGTGGGAACTTCAGGTTCATCGCCCTGCACTGGCTTTAGTACAGTTCTTTAAGAGCTATTATTCATGTGACAGCATTTATTGAGTACCTACTGGATGCTTTGCATCCTTTAAGACATTTGGCAAAAAGGCAAAATGAAACAGATTGTAACAGAGGAGCGTATGGGAGACAGATTGTCTATAATGGAGGAGAGTGCAGGAGACAGTCTGTGACTTCAGTGTTTGAACCCTAGGCTCAGATTGTCCTCCTGGTGATCCTTCTGCTGGCCATCGCTGACTTTGTCATAGGAACATTTATCTCACTGGAGAGCAAGAAGCCCAAGGGGTTCTTTGGCTATAAAAGTAAGTACAAAGAATGGATATGGTGTTAATAATACAAATTATAGCACTCTGCTGTTAACTAAATTTAGTACATTTTAGGTATTTTAATTGTAATTAAGTTTGGTCTGGTGATTCACACTAATTCATAATTTAGTTTTTGTCCTCTTTATGTCGGCTGTACAATTGGAGTAAATTTGCCTTCATTTTCATCTTTTGTTTTACAATAATAGCAACAACATGTGGAATATAGAGAAGCCAGTGCCACTAAGAAGGTGCCTGCATGGCTCTCATTTATGTCTAGTTATGTGTTTCTTGGTGGCAGGAATATGAGAAGTGTGTCTTTAGGTGATTTTATTGTTGGATAAACATCTGAGAGTATACCTACCCAAACTAAGATATCTGTGACATCATCAGAGTTATTGAATCCTTTATGTGTTTTGCCCATTATTGACCAAAATGCTACTTGGCATGTGACTTTTTAAACACAACAGTTTAAAAGTACTCTGTAGATTGTGAAAGCGGATAGAAGTTGCAAAAATCATGACTTTTTACCTCTAAATACTTCAGCTCATATCTACTAAGGAAAAGGGCAACTCAGAAAATTTATCCTTGGTATGATGCACAGATGCATAGATGTTTTTAATTCAAGTCTTTGGGGATCCTAATAGAAACTGCAGGTTTTCTTACCCAGGACCAGTTGCATTAAGTTATTCACCTTTCCTTTTAAAACAAAACAAAGCTGACTCATTATGTAATCCTCAGTCTCATTAGGCTTTTTCGTCTTCTGTGATGGTGACAATTTCAGAATTACAGGTGTGTGTGTGTGTGTGTGTGTGTGTGTGTGTGTGTGTGTGTGTGTGTGTTTTTGTGGGTGAGATGTATGTTGGAGTGTGTGTGTCGGGGGGTGTATGTGTTGGGGTGTGTGTATGTTGGTGTGTGTGTTGGGGTGTATTGTGTTGGGGTGTGTGTTGGGGTATGTGTGTGTGTTGGGGTATGTGTGTGTGTTGGGGTGTGTGTGTGTGTGTTGGGGTGTATGTGTGTTGGGGTGTATGTGTGTTGGGGTGTATGTGTGTTGGGCTGCAACCCTGTATGTGTGTTGGGGTGTGTGTGTGTATGTGTTGGGGTATATGTGTGTTGGTGTGTGTGTGTGTTGGGGTGTATGTGTGTTGGGGTGTTTGGGTTGGGGTGAATGTTGGTGTGTGTGTGTGTTGTGTATGTGTGTGTTTGGGGTGTGTGTGTGTTTTGGGGTGTGTGTGACTGGGATCATCTCTCCAGCTGGGTTGTTTATATTAGCTAGATAAGCAGTGTGTCCTCAAAACTCAGAATTGGGGGTCCCAGTGATCTCAGCTTTCCCCCTTTGATGTTGTTATTTTTTGTTTATTAAGGTGATGACAAGAGGCTTCTCTGCTGGGGAGTTGCCACTTGTTGTCAGTTAATAAGTGATACTTCGAGACAGTGCCTTGCCCCCATTTGACTTTTATCAAATGGTTTTATTAGCAGTTCTTTTGTGGGTTTCTGTTAAGTCACAATGACATAGAGCAGCATAGATTGTTTTGTCTTCCTTAGTCACAATCTTCTCCTTTTTGAAAGACTTTCCCTGTTAGCCATTGGATTGATGTTCTGCTTGATGCAGTGATTGCTCTACCTATTACTACTCCTCTTACCTCTCTGTCTCAGTTAGGGTTTCTATTGCTGTGATGAAACACCATGACTGAAAAGCAAGTTGGGGAGGAAAGGTTTTATTCAGCTTTAACTTCATCATTGAAGGAAGTCAGGACAGGAAATCAAACAGACCAGGATCCTGGAGGCGGGAGCTGATGGAGATGCCATGGATGGGTGCTGCTTACTGGCTTGCTCAGCCTGCTTTCTTATAGGACCCAGAACCACCAGTCCAGGGATGGCACCACCTACAGTGGGTTGGGTCCCCATCAATGACTAATTAAAAAATGTCCTACTGACTTTCATACAGCCCAATCTTATAGGGGCATTTTCTTAATTGGGGCCCCCTTCTCTCAGATGATTTCAGCCTGTGTCAAGTTGACAAAACTATCCTGCACACCCTTTCTTTCCTTCCAGTGGACACTGTTGTGTTCACCATGGTCCTGGTCTCCCCACTATATTCCTTACTTTGGTGTTATCTGGTCTCATAGTTCAATGTAACTTCAGAAGATTGTCTTGTTTTTATTTTTTAATTGTTCCTTTAGAACATTTCTTTTAGTCTTTAGCTAAAATTATCTGGCTCAGGAAATAGGGAAAGCTGTTTTAAAAGTCTCTATAGCAATGGAAAGTGAGTGGGTATTGGAGAGTAGGGTATAAGCTGGCTTCAGATCAGTGTGTTTCTCTTTATTTCCCTGCCCCCTTTCTTATGTTTTTTTTTACTTTGTTGTGGGGGGAAAGTAGGTCACTAATCTATATTTTGATTTTCATTTGAGTTAGTGATAACAACCAAGTGTGGAGGTTCTTAAACAATTAATAGTAAGAGGTACCAAAAGGTCAGACATAACCTAGATTACATCACCATATTAATAGCAAACCATTTCTTCACATCAGAAAACAGGAGCACAGATACTGAACTAGCATTAAATAAGAATGACCAATTGTGTGGAGACCATGTACACTAATTACTCTTGATTTAATTATTTTGTTCTCATTTGCTATCCAGTAATTGCCGAAATATTTTGTCCTCTGTAGCTGAAATATTTACTGAGAACTTTGGACCAGATTTCCGGGGAGAAGAAACTTTCTTTTCTGTATTTGCCATCTTTTTCCCTGCTGCAACCGGTATTCTAGCTGGAGCAAATATCTCAGGTGATCTTGCAGTAAGTATTATAGATACTATATTGTTACTGATTTTTTTTAAATGCTGCACATGCATTTATTTTTATAGACTAAAAAATCTTCTTGTCTTCTAGGATCCTCAGTCAGCCATACCCAAAGGAACACTCTTAGCCATTTTAATTACTACAGTGGTTTACATAGGAATTGCAGTGTCCGTAGGTAAATAGCCTTCATTTCTTCATATGTCTTAGAGCTATTGTGATGGTCATAGCACCATTTTAATTACTACAGTGGTTTACATAGGAATTGCAGTGTCCGTAGGTAAATAGCCTTCATTTCTTCATATGTCTTAGAGCTATTGTGATGGTCATAGCACCATTTTAATTACTACAGTGGTTTACATAGGAATTGCAGTGTCCGTAGGTAAATAGCCTTCATTTCTTCATATGTCTTAGAGCTATTGTGATGGTCATAGCATAAGTAGTAGTATGACATTTTCCAACTTTAACATTCCAAAATACTTTAGCTAAAAAGGTATATAGAATTAGTTGCCTGTTTTAATCCAAAGGCAGCTTAAGGAAAACTGGTGGTGACTTACAGAGACATAAAACCACCAAATGCTTTGTTGGGTCAATTCAGGAATTTATTTATTATAGTCAATTGGAAGAATGTAAAATCATACCTATAAACTCACATTGTAGCTGGACATATGAGATATATTCAAACATGGAAGTAAATTTTCCTCTTTAGAGTTATAGATTTGGGGGGTCCCAGAAATCCTTGCACACTATTATGCAAGCACCTGTTCATTCTCATACAAAATTATAAGCTCTAAATTTATTTTTTGGTTAAGAGGTTTTCATGTATATTTTACTAAGAATACTTCAGTTTTACCACATTTTTCTTTGTTTTATTCAGAAATAGTGACAGAACTCTATTTCAAATTTTATTGCTATTTCTCAGGGTAATTTTGAAATTTGGCTGAACAAAAGTTAGAAATGCTGGCAGTATCATGATGGGCCAAATTGCCTTTTAAAAATGATTTTTGGATTTAATTTATTCTTAATACATAATCCTAAAATTCATTTGCGAAAACAAAGTGTTTCCCTAAAATTTTAAGTATGCTTATATAATACGTAGCCTAGCCAAATAAGGTTTGTTTTTAATTTAACTGGCATAACTGATTATGATGTTCCAGCTTTTAAAATCGTTTGTTGCCACTGATTCGTTTCTGACCCTCTGGTATTTTTTAGACCTCATGTTTACTTTATTCTGTCTGTCCTCAGTGAGCAGTGGAGCTGCCCCTTATTCCTGGTGTTCAGGAGTGGGCTAGGGAAGAGCTATGTACCAGTGTTTGTGTAACTAGTTCAAAGTGACAGAACTTTTATCCCCAAGCTGTCAGGGACAGCACACACGTGTGGTCCTGGTGATGTCTAGAGTTTTCATTGTCAGTGTGCCCAGCCTAGACTGACAGCACGTGAAAGCATGACTGCTTTCAAGCTGGTTGGAGTCTTAAGTGTTCTTTTCTCTCTCCAATCCCATCAGATTTCAGAGGTGCATTTAGATGGAGACATGCTTTTGGGGAGAGAGAGATGAAAGGAAGAGAAAACTATTGAAATATTTATATAAGGTTTTCCACTGTTTATGTAACGCTTGGAAATACAACACTTTTTTTATAGAAGGTTCTGTTTCATTAGTTAAATTTTAGTGACCACTAAGCCTCACTTACTTCAGAGTAAAGATATATATACATGTAGCCTATGCTATTATAAATGTGTACCTAGACAGTACTGTGTTTTCATTATGACTGGATGTGTGATTTTAAGAGGAATGCATGTATGAGTTATCATTGTTACTTGTGCCTCAGGTTCTTGTGTTGTTCGGGATGCCACTGGGAATGTTAATGATACCATTACAACAGAGCTAACAAACTGTACTTCTGCAGCCTGCCAATTAAACTTTGACTTTTCCTATTGTGAAAGCAAGACTTGTGATTATGGGCTAATGAACAACTTTCAGGTGAGCATTGAGTTTTTTATATAGACATTCTGTAACTTATCTAGGGATTAGACCACTATGAAATCTGGCCATTCAGAATATAGCTATAAATTAGAAGGGAAGACAGTTGTTACTTTCTGCCCCTTATACTAAACTATATTACCACTAACTAGGCAAATAGAAAATACATGAAAGAGTAAATAAACTCTTGAGGTGACTGATGAATAAAACAAAGCCCTTGAGAGTCATACACACTTTCTAATAGTGTGTATACATGCAGTATATGGGTATACCATTTCAGAAAAACAGGGAACAAGCATCTTTCATAAAAGTCATTTTCAGTGGTCTGTTCCTGGGTTCTGTCTGCTCTGTTCCACTGAGCTTTGGCTTTGTCTGTTCACCAGTGTCAGTCCTGATTCACATAGTTATTACGTATTAGTCTTGAAGCCAGATTAACTCCTCTTTTAAAATAGTTCTAGCTGTTTTAGCTTCTTAGTAATTTAGTGGTACCCTCATTTTATGGATAAATGAACTATTAATGTATACCAATTGATAGAACTGGGTATGTGGCTTAGTTGGTGGGTGCTTGCCCAGCATGCACAGATCTCAAAGCCCTGGCTCAGTCCTCAGTACCACATGCACTGAGTGAAGTGGCACATGCCTGTAATCCCAGTGTTTGGGAGCATGGCAGGAGGATCAGCAGCCCGGGGTCACCCTTAGCTATGTGGCAAGTTTGAGATCAACTTGAACTACTTGACACCTTTTTCAACATCGATATTGATCATTATGTATAGTAATTCTAGTATAATTTAGGTATGGTCTGTGTAGGTTCATGTTATACCAAACCACCATTTAACAGGAGAAATAAATTACAACAGATGCTTAAAAGTTAGAGAATGTTGAAAACATGCGAACTATGTAAAAGACCAGTCTTAGTTTTTAGGTTTTTGGAGACTTAATTCTTTGTTGTTTATTATTTACCTCTGTTAAGATGTTCAATGCAAGGGGCTGAGGAAACAGCTTATTTGGAGCACATGGACATGAGATTGGTCTCCAGATGCCATATGAAAAAACCTGGATGTGGTGGTGTGCGCTTATAATCCCAGAGCCAAGGGGATGGAGGCACTGAATGCTTGGCTCACTGGTAGAAAGCCCAGGCCTCCTGGTTCAAATTTCAGGCCAGTTTTTGACATTGTCTCAAGAAAAGCCAGCAATACCTGATGAGTGACACCAAAGACTGTTCTTTTCCTTTCACATGAGCATGCTCATATATTCATGCCTATACATACACATAAAAAATAAGTGACAATGAAGTGAAATTTTAGTGTGTCAGATTTATGGGTTTTAGAACCTAGGTAAAGAATTTGATCAAAGATGATCAAAACAAATATATACATGTGTAGATTTAGGAGGTTAAAACAGTAGGATTAGAGATTATGGATTTCTGTTGATCACAAGTAAGGAAATAGAATTTTATTTACCAAAGCGTAATTAACAGAGTAGTGGAAATCTGACTGTTTTTGGAGCTTACTTATTATTTACAATATGCAAATATTTTATGATACAACTTTCTGAATAAAAACTTTAATGGCATTTTATTTTCCATTGTATAGCTTCAAACAGTATATTTGTGGTTAATTGTGTTAGATTCAATTATGTGATATAAGTTAGTGTTTTTTAGTCACAATATTAGGCAAAAATTGTAGAAATGAAGGTATTCATGCTAAGCTAATGATTCTCTCCAGTTCTGACATATATAAAAGGTATAGACATTGGTCTCTGCCCAGTGACTGAGAATGCTAGTTTAATTTGTGTGTGTTTCCTGGAAATGCAAAACTGTTTTTTTTCAGATCTCTCTTATGGTCTCACTAGAGTATACCTCTTTTAATTTAGAGAAGTAAAAATTTAATGCTGTGGGAAGAAGCACAAACTGGTGGTATTGGTGGAATCCTGTGTAAATCATGCATTGTTTAGACAGTAAAGCATGGTTGATAGAATATAACTAAACAATATGTAAGTTGTATGCTGACTTAGTGTTGTGTTGCTGTGAAGAGACACTGTGATGAAGGCAACTATTATACAGGAAAGGGTTCAACTTGGGGCTTGCTTAGTTTCAGAGGCTTTAGTCCATTGTCACTGTGGCTAAGAGCATGGTGGCATGCAGGCAGACATGTTGCTAGACAAGTAGCTGAGAGCCTTAATTCCTGATCCTCAGACCACAGGCAGATAGAGAAACAGACACTGGTATAGCAGGCTTCCTTGGACTCCCAGCCCCAGATGATGACACGGAGACTTACTGTTAATTATGAATGTGTGGCCTTAGCTTAGGTTTGTTTCTAGGTAGCTTTTATTTATTTTTTTTTAGTTAGTTTAAATTAATCCATTTCTATTCGTCTATGTGCTGTCCCAAGGCTCATACTGTCCATCCTGCTTTCTTTCTTCCTCTGTATCTGTCTGGCCCCTGGCAGGCTGGCTGGCTGGCTCCCTCTTTTCTCTCTACCTGCCAGACCTGCCTATCCTTCCTCTGCCTAGCTATTGGCCATTCAGCTTTTTATTAGACAATCAGGTGTCTTAGGCAGGCAAGATGAAACAGTAACACATCTTTGCATAATTAAACAAATATTCTATTCCGCAACACATAGGGCTTGGTGTGGGCTTTTGAGAACTCAAAGCCCATGTCCAGCAACAATCTCTTTCAACAAGTCTGCATCTCCTAGTCCTTCCAGACAGTTCATTAACCGGGGACTAAGCACATTTGAAACCATGGGACCGTTCTCATTCTAACCACCACAGATGTCTATTATAAAACCCATACCACCCCAATTTATAGTGGTATTTTATATATAAATGACTTCATGCTTAAGGTAGTAGAGATGTTGGGATATCTTGCTGGTTTGTCTCATTGTATTTCTTTATGTTGATATCCTGTGAAACCTCTGACTTATGCATTGCATGATGAACAAAATGTGAGCTTTTTTTTTGCCAAAGTTCCTCCTACTTGATCTCTCACAACCCTCTGGATTTGGTCACTGTGTTTATGCATGTGTGTGCACACATGCTACCATTCCTTACCTCTATTCAGTGCTTCATTTGGAGCGCCGTCTTGCCTTTCGTCTTTGCTGCTATATGTTGTGGACTGCACTGATGTTGCCACTGTTTTCATCCAGTGTCACTCTGTCCAAATACTCTTGTTTCTCCATTAAATTTTGGGAAATGCTAAAGTTTGGGTAAATACTAAACTGGAAAACTGGAAGTCTAGGTGGCTTTTCATGCAGTATTTCCCAATACTAAGCATAGGGCATTGATGCTGATTTGTGCAAAGGACAATGCAACCAGAGAATAAACGAGCTTGAGGTTTTCATGTCTAAGTCTGTGAGGAATGCACACACACATTGGCCCTCATAGTAAATGTTTGGACATAACGCACCACTTTCATCAATTTATCAGTGTGTGGTTAATTGTGTTTTGTTTATAACTTCTCATCCCCAAAGAGAATTTGTATCATAACCTTTTGGCTAGATGTGTTTTTACTTAAAAATCTTTATACCCACAGTACTTTTGCAATCCCATAAAAAGAAACCATCTTAATGTAGTACACTTTTGTAGATATAATTATAAATTTTCTAGAAACTAGGAAGAGAGGAGTGGGTTACATAATAGAGAGGTATGGTCCATACATTGCAGGATATAGGGTAGGAGCTCCAGAGAATGGCAGGAGAAATTAAATAAGTTGAAAATATGAAAAACTGTACCAACCAAATATAATTATTTTTGAGAGCTTGTTTGAAAAAAAAAACTGTTTTTAAATGACCAAGACAATGGGGACAGTTGAGGCAGTTTGATTGCTGACTAGATACATGATGTTGTGAAGGGATGGCCAGATCAGTGAGCCATTACTGTTAATAGACACAACACTGAACCTTATGCAATAAAAATCTAGAGGTGCGAATGATGTCGGATTGGCCTAAGTTGTCCATGGTTGAAACCTGGTGACAGGTAGTTGGCAGTTCATTATCCTCTTTTTTTCTGCCATATGTTCATTTGAAAATTTATAAAAGGATTTGTTAGTGGTAAATCTATTTTAATAATTTGCTTCTTATTGCTATTTATCAAATTACTATCAGATTAATCTAGTATTAGTTTCCTTTATTGTGACTATTCAATACTCTTTTTCAAACTGTTTTTATGACTCATTTTCCAATTCTGTCACTTTAAGGTGATGAGCATGGTGTCAGGGTTTGCACCCTTAATCTCGGCAGGTATCTTTTCAGCCACACTTTCGTCAGCACTAGCCTCTCTAGTGAGTGCTCCCAAAATATTTCAGGTAAATGTTTTCATATTATAATTATTATTAGGGGGGTATTAAGATATTTCAAATTTTGGATTGTTGCTATATTCAAATAGGTTGCTTTTATCAACCTCATGTGTTTGATATGTTTACATATACATATCAAAATTGATATCAATTTTATGTATACAAATGATATGCAAATGCATACAGACATTTGTGCACTTTTCTAATGTCAAGTTACATGCTAGAAAAGATGATTTGGGGATCTGGAGAGATGACTCAGCTGTATGGGCTCATGCAAAAGATCCAAATTCAGTTTCCAGTGTTTACATTGGGTGGCCCATAATCCTGTGATTCCAGACACATACATAATTAAAAATGATAGGAATAAATATTGAGGGGATAAAAAGAGTGGGTTTTGCTTCTAGACATACTTAGCATAAAAGTCTAAGGTTCTCATCAAGTATTAGGAGTGCAGTCTAAGACTAATCAGAAGTAATAAATAATGATTTCAGTTAGCATGATGCCAACTTAAATTTCTTATGTGGCTAACATTACATTACTTGTAGTAGGTGCAGTGATAACTAGAATGAATGAACATTGCTTCCTGTAGAGATGACTAAGCAGATAATACTGATTAGGGTCTCATTTTTAATTACTAAGTCAGATAAATGTTGATTTTTCTAGCCTTATTCTTAATATTTTATTTGTAGCCAAAAAATATAGTAATAGTGAGGCATGTAATTTTTAAGGCAGCATCTATTAAGATTTGAAGAAAAGTGGTTAAACTTTATTATTAGGGTTTTTAATCTGCTTTTATGTTTCATATTTGGACTTAGTTTTCATAAAGCCTTAAGTACTGTATTGTACTTACCAACTTCCAATTTTCTTTTTTAATTGTACTGTTATTTGAATGTCTGCTTCAGTGATTCTTCATAGGTAGAGTTTCAAAGTGGGGTGGGCAAGATAAATAAAATCTTAAGCAGTGTTGTAAACCAACTACCCTTCTATTTGAACTATTTACATATCCTTGATAGTCTGTAGGTGAAGCCCTGTGAGACAGGAAAAAAAAAAGCATCAGAAATGAGAGACTGGGCTCCATTCTTTATTAACCTACTTTAATTGTTAGCAGATTTGTATATCTTAATTTTCATGTATTTCATTTTAATGTTTGCATTTTTTTATTAGGCACTATGTAAGGACAATATCTATCCAGCTTTCCAGATGTTTGCTAAAGGTTATGGGAAAAATAATGAACCTCTTCGTGGTTACATCTTAACATTCTTAATTGCACTTGGATTCATCCTAATTGGTTAGTTCTTTGAATGGTATATCATGTAGGTTCTGGTGTGTTTATATATAGCATTACCTATAATCATGAATATTAAATTATTAACCAAACGTGCTTTGATTTAGTGCACTAAATTAATTTCTAATGAAACCAAAGAGTAAGTAAAATACCGCAAATAATAGTGTTGGATATTTATTAAAATTATTGCTATCATGTAAAATTACAGATAGAAGAAATTACACTTTTTTTTTTTTTAAAAAAAAGACTATGTATCTCAAGCTGGCCTCCTATTATTCATAATTGTAGCCAAAGATAATCTTGAATTCCTGATGGTCCTGCCTCTATTTCCCAAGGACTAAGATTGTAGGCCTGTACTACCATAACATTTTCCTAAACTATATACGATGATAGTGTAGGGAAAGGATACTAGTGTACCCCAGGAAGGTATTGCCTCTGTCTGATCATATGTAAAGTGTGGATCTTTCACTGCTAAAGTAACATTGGACTTTCTGAAGGATTTTTGTCTAGACTCTCAATTTAATTGTCTGAAAGTCTGATCATGTCATCCATCAGTTGTAATAGCAAGATTTAAGGAAGTGTCAACCGTGGTAGATTTAGGACTATTTATTATGCTATTTAAAAATAGGAATATTTTAAAATTTGAAGTATTAAACACCATTAAATTTATTTCTTGTTTCTTTTGCAGCTGAATTGAATGTTATTGCTCCAATTATCTCTAATTTCTTCCTTGCATCATATGCGTTAATCAATTTTTCAGTATTCCATGCATCACTTGCAAAATCTCCAGGTGATTTTACATTTTAAAAATTTGTATTAATGGCTTTGATTTCAGAGGAAACAAAATTTCCACTTTTCTAAAATTTGTTGTATGTGAGTTTAGTTCGTTAAAGTTGTTTTCTTTTATAATTATGTCAAATTCAGTGCTCAAAGTTCTCTTTATTATGAAGTATTCTGGTAATAAGCTGTTTCTTTTCAAAACAGTAAAAATAGCATTTGTCGTATTAAAGAATTATTTCCTGTTTTTAAAATTTCTTTACTATTTACTTACCCGATTCAGTTCTCATAACCTTGTCATTGTTTAATAACCTTTCAAAATTTGTTCTTTTTGGTGCTGAGAATTGAACCTGGTGCTTCAAGCATGATAAGCACACGTTTTTACCAATGAGCCTAAGTGCCAGCCCCTAGCATGATTTTTACACAGTGAATTCTGTGGAACTATAACATAAGGGGGCTCTGTCAACTGAAAAAGTACCATGGGGCTTTTGTTACAAGTGGACCAGGGTTGAAAATCAGGAAAAGAATGGAAAGTACAGAAGGATTTAAGTTTCTCAGAACAGGCTAAATAGCATGTGAGGTTTTCAAAAGGAAAAGGAACTATGAACACAGTGCTTTAGCTTCAGTTTTACTTTCAAAATGAAATTTTGTTGAAGTAATTAAATATTTCTAACCATTAGTGACAAGTTTAAAGCATGGTCTTTTAAAGCATTTTATGAGTAGTTTTAATTAACAAATACCAATGGTATGAATTTCTTAAATTCACACCAAGGTTTTGTTATGTGGGTAGGTTGCTTGAAATGCTTTATATATTTATTAGAACATGGAAGTATATCATGGTGAAGACCAGAGTGTACAGCTGCCCCACTGAGGGGTAAGCCTTTCCTCTGTAGGATGCTGCTATAGTTTTCACTATGGTGGGTTGATTTAAATTTTTGAAAGGTTGTGTTGAATGAAGGTCTGAGAAGATGCACTAAGAGGGAAAATATTATCTTCACAGTCATTAGGAATTATCAAAACCAGCTGTGATCAATAACAGTCATTGACTTTACTGTTAGATATTAGCCTTGTACTTAATATTTAAAGTTGTCTGAGTGTGGCAGCCATAATGAAAGCTATTTTATACATAATTATGTGCCACTGTATAAAGCAAATGAAAAATCTGGGTGACTTTTTTGTCTGTCTTGTTAGGATGGCGTCCTGCTGCATTCAAATATTACAACATGTGGATATCTCTTATTGGAGCAATTCTTTGTTGCATAGTGATGTTTGTCATTAACTGGTGGGCTGCCTTGCTCACATATGTGATAGTTCTTGGACTCTACATTTATGTCACCTACAAAAAGCCAGGTCAGTAGTCTTTTGTATTTAGTATTTCAAGCTAGAAAATGTCAACAGGTTTTTACGTTACTTCTTACTCAAGCATCTTTTGTATATTTGAAAAGGTGTCACATGTAAAACTTATAATACCTTCTTTCCATATAATTTTTTGCTTTTGAAGTACATTTAGTGTTAATTCCTATAGAATTTCATTTGTACCCATGAATTAAATATAACTAACCTTATTTAAGAAAAGTAATAAACTAACATTCTTTTGTACTTCCATTGTTTTAAAATTATAAAATTATTACGTTGAAAGTTCCAGATTTTGCAGCACTGTAGTAACTACTAGCCAAATGTCTGTCTCTGTCTCTCTCTCTCTCTCTCTCTTTCTCTCTCTCTCTCTGTGTGTGTGTGTGTGTGTGTGTGTGTGTAGAATATATATATTCTCTTGTCATCTTTAGAACTTCTGTATAGATGGAATTCAAGCACTGGAAAGATGTATCTTTCCCAAAATAACTAAATATAAATGTTCTTTTTTGTTGTTTGCTTTTCTTTTTCTTTTTCTTTTCTTTTTTTCTTTTTTTTTTTTTTTTAGACAGGGTTTCTCTTTGTAAACCAGGCTGGTCTGGAACTCACAGAAATCTACCTGCCTCTGCCTCCCAAGTGCTAGGATTAAAGGCGTGCACCACCACTGCCCAGCTAGTATAAATGTTCTTAACTGAGAAATAATTAGTGATTGTTTTCTTCTACATTGATGATGTCTAGAAAGGTCCCCGTGTAAGGTTTGAGGGGAAGGGCTGTTAGGATTGGTTCAGTATATAGAAAAAGATATGGCAAAAAAAGGTAGGAGAGTTTGGTCCACTGGCATAAATCAGAAGATGAGTAGTTACAGTACAGTAATTCTAAACAGTGATGAAATGTAATCTGAATATGAAATGATGAACTTTTGAATTCAGATGGTGACTCTAGAAATGAATGGAGAAGGGAGGTATATTTTTAACTTTTAGGAGCAAATGTTCCTCTAAAATACTATTAAATATACATTAATGTGTTTTTAAAAATCATTCAAGGCCCAACCTTTTTATTCAATAGTAGAGGACGTTTTCATGTTTAAATAGCTTGAACATATTTACTGTTCTTAAAGTGTGTCCCCTCAGGTCTTCAGCTACATAATGAATAATTTTTAAATATTTTATTGTTGGGAATGTTTTGAGTTATGCAAACATGTCTACAGTGCCATCATCATGCATTTATTAAGTTATGCCTTTTTTCAAATGCAATGACAGATCTGATGATAGTCTTAATGTACTTCTATATACTAGAACTATTCAAAGTTATAGAATAGTAGTTTACTTTAGCAATTGACTTATAAACATGAAAATTCTGCCCAGTTTGCTGTTTGTCTCATGGGTTTGAAATGGTTGCCATTGGAATCACACTGCATGACTCTGTTTTCCCACAGATGTGAACTGGGGGTCCTCCACACAAGCCCTGACTTACCTGAGCGCACTGCAGCATTCCATTCGTCTTTCTGGGGTGGAAGACCATGTGAAGAACTTCAGGTAGGAGAACAGGCACCATGGAGGCATCCTCTGGTTACTAGTCAGTTAATTCTTAAACCATTCATTTTTCAGTAACATTCTGTATGGAATAGTACACAATATTCTGTCTTGCTTGGATGGTCTTGGACAGTTAATTATTCAAAACCAAACATACAAAAAAAAATGCTGTCCTTAGAAAAAGTGATGAAAGTTTTGGAACTGTCATTTGAAGAAAAATATTTTTTTTTCTCTTTGTAAGCATTCATGTTATATATCTATAAGTTTCTTTAAATTTTTTTTGTGTATGCATGTTTTACCTGTATCTATGCCTGTGCCCTACTTGCACACTTGGTACCCACAGAGGCTAGAAAGAGCATTAAATTCCCTGGAACTGGAGTTGCAAATAGTTTTGAACTGTTATGTGGGTTATGTTACGGGAATTGACCCCATAAGAATTTTTATTTGTTTGCTTGAGACAGGGTTTCACTGTATGGCTCTGGCTGGCTGGGGACTCCCTTTGTATAAGCCAGGTTACCCTTGAACTCACAGAGATCCGCCTGCCTCTGCTGCTTGAGTGCTTGAATCCAGCCATGCCTGGCGTAGACTTGTTTTGATGAACCTATTTTTATAATTTTGTTAAGACTAAACAATACTGAATTCATATTTCTAAGCAACTAACTGGAAACTACTTGCAGTAGTAAGACTGTGTTTTTGGCTAAGGAGTACGTGCGTTGTACTTCCCTTGGGAAATGACTTTGTCATTAGTCTATTAGTCATCTCTGAAACTTCTGTAATACATTGCTAGTAATGGGTTAGATCCAGATATTAAAACACTGTTGAGAGATGCTTCTCTGTATTCAGAAATATTTATGCATATAAAGTCTAAGAAATTTTAGCCTGTTTATACTTAGTATTTTCATAAAATAGTATTTCTTAAATTGATGAGGTTGGTTAGCTGTCACAAGTCATACATAACCTTTCATTGGCTTCTGAAATATACACAACGTTGTTCTAGAAAATATCTTTGAAGAGGAGATACATTTCAAGAAAGAATTGCTCTCTTTAGAAGGAGAATTTGTGGGTGTTCCTTATGTTGCTCTTTTGAGCACCCACCCACCCACTGTCCCTTTCTCTAGAATGAAAAGTTCCCAGAGACCACAGCTTTGCAAGTGAGACTGCGGGAGGAATAAGTGTCCTGGTAGAAAATTTTAAATGCTAGCATATTTTGGGTAGTTGATATTATGACAGAAAAATTAGAAATTGTTCTTTTTGTGAGTTGTTTAACATAAATGAAGATATGAACAAAAGTCGCAATTAATTTTAAACCAGCAAAAACTGGTTTGGACTTATTATTATAATTGGATGTATTGTTTTTGACTTTTTTTTATCCTGGTTTGGTTTTTTGATGTTTACTATTTTATATAACCCAACTGTTCTGTATTATAAGGTACTCCTGCTTCTGTCCCACAAGTCCTGAGATTATAGACATGAGTTTTAATTTTTTATGAGAATCAGAATAAGTGTAGCACAAAGAGGAGAGTCTATAAAAATTTGCCATGAAAACTAATACTTGCCTTATCCTCTGTGTTCTTATACCATAGGCAGCAATTTCTGCCTTTGGCTGCTTTGTTACTTGTTTGTTTTGTGTTGGCTTCATAAAGCTGCATCTGTGTTGCTGTGCATTCTCATTTTTGCTTGGTCATTATTTTCCTTTATTCTGGCTATAGTGCATGGATGTACTCTTCTCATACTTCAGTACATTTTATGGTGTTAATTTAATACTTATATTTTTATGATGTTAGACAGGGGAGGCACAGTGTAAATTGTTTTTTCTTGGCTCTTTTTGTTTTATTGAAACTAGTAACTCTTTTTTTTCATATTTAATTTTTGTATTTATCCTAGCCTTCATCAAAGATGTCAGAAGTTAAGAGTTACTTGAAGTTTCTTTCTCATTGTTTCCTTTTTCTTTACTCTGGGTTCTTGAATTTAACTTCATCTAAAATATAGTATCTATGCTCCTTGACCTGGAAGGTTCTGCATTGGTGGTGAGGCCTTGCCAGTCAAGTCCTTAACATAGATTAATGCGGCTTTGCCATTCTTCAGGGAATTTAAGTCATCTTAAAGGCTTTCTTTTTGATCTGATTAGATTTTTCAGAAAGGAATATTTTAATCTGTTTGTATGTCCTTGTTACCAGAGTTCTGTAGCCAGGTAGGGAAGGAGAGTTTTGCCATAAACAACCTTCTGAATCCTCTATTTTAGATTGTTGACTTTTGCCCTTAGCTATTTTCAGTGTCTTTTAGGTCACAGAGGTCTCGTTAACAAGTAGCCGTAGTGATGGGAGTGACTTGGCTCTGTGCATTTGCTTCTTGTGTAGCCTGAGAGCCATGTTCATGATTCAGGTTTCTTTAACAGGGCTGTTTAACACTGCTGTTTGCAGGTTTGTGAACTCTGAGGCGTGGCTGCTGCACTTGTGGTACAGCGTCAGCAGCTTCACAGCACTCCCATTCATGTAGTGTTTCCTGATGGTCGGCTCCTTCACTCTGCTGCTTGCTTATTGCTTTCAGTGCTTTAGTGGTGTTCCTCTCATGTATTTTTTCATGGATGTTGTGGTTTTATAACTTTAACAGGATTATGTTGTTTAGAGGAGAGTCTTAATTTACTCTAACAAGAAGCTTTTTAAAAAGCAATAATTAAACTTGGAAGGCATTGGTAGATGTTTAGACATGGATGGTTCATGGCAGGTAGGCAGATTTGGTCATTTGGCACCACTATTCCTTATGTGTTGCCATTCTGCTGTCCCCTAAAAGATGTGTTTTGTCTTTGTAATCAGAGTCATCACTACACCATGATCTAGCTTACAGGAATGAACGTATGGGGAACAACTTGCTTTTAAGTAGCATGGCTTGCAGAGGAACTTCATGGGTTGTAAGATGCTCTCAGTTACTTTATTCTAGGAAGGTGGAGAGGATGTTCTATAGCTGGAGAGTTCATGTCACCTGTGGAAGCTGAAAAGGGAGACAAGACAGTCAGAAGATGGGACTGAACGGTCTGGGCCATGGGCAACTCCACAGTAACTCTGTCTCAGACAGAATTGATGTTTGAGCTACTTCACTAAAATTCTAAACAATTCGATATTTTTAAAAGTCTGTTAATATTTTTATTATTTTAGAGACTAATCTAAAAGTTAGTGTTTATGTTAGAATTAAAGAAATTTTTAAAGATTTACTTAGTTTTATTTTATGTATATCTGTGTTTTTGTCCAGATGTATGTCTGTAAATTAGAAGGGGACATCAAATCCTCTAAAATGAGTTACAGGCTGTTGTTAGTTGCCATGTAAGTGCTGGAAACCCAACCCAAGTCCTCTGCAAGAACAGGAAGTACTCTTACTCACTGAGCATCTATCTCTCCAGTCCTTCCTTACCTTAGGAATACAGCGGTTCTTTGCTTTGGTTTAATTGTAGATGTTACTAATTTAATCTGTTTTGGTGGATAAAATGGATACCTGAATATTACATAAGCAAGATTGATTTCCTCTTCTAGTTACTGAAAATCAATTTTTATTTTTCAAGACAGGGTCTCTCTCTGTACTTCTGGCTGTCTTAGGATTTGCTACGTATAGATCAGGTTGGCCTCAAACTCAGAGATCTGCCTCCCATGTGCTGGGATTAAAGGCATGTACCTCCTCAGCCAACCGAAAATCAATAGTTTAAGACATCTAAATATTTTGCAGCCTTCTCATGTTTACAGAGATACTTGAGTGCCATTTTGGCACTCATCATTATTAACTAGAATTAAAGAATTAAAATAGAACTTGTAGTTCAAACTGCTGTATTTGATCTTGTTTACATTGCAACAGTCTTCAGGAAGCTAGATTAGACTGAGGGTTGATAAGTGATGTCATTATAGTAAGATGGAACGCACCTGTTTATATTATGGGTTATTTGTGCTCAGTAAGTTTTGCAGGATTTATGAACTAACTGGAACAGTTATGACCTCTGAAGACAAAAAATTTCATATCATTTTTAAGCAAGGTGGTGATTTCTGTAGCATTCCTAGAAAATCAGTGTGTAGAATTGCCTGTTGTTTGAGAGGGGCATCTGGTATGAAATTTGTTACAAGGTTTTGTTTTGCTTTTTAAACATTTGGTGTTATTTATGGGTCTGTATGCAAGTGCATGTGTCTGTGAGGGCCCGTGATGGCCAACTGGAGTTAGAAGTAGTCTTGACCTGCTTGACATGGCTGCTGAGAACGGAACTTGGGTCCCTTGAAAAAGACGAAAACACTGGTAACAGCTGAGCCACCTCTGCAGCCCCACGTAGCCTGCTTCTTCTTAAAGTTCTTCTGTAGCTTTGTGCATAGAGAAACAACAAACAAATTTCTAAGCATTCTAATTTATTTATTTATTTTGTCTTAAATTAGGCCACAGTGTCTTGTTATGACGGGTTCTCCAAACTCACGCCCTGCTTTACTTCATCTTGTTCATGACTTCACAAAAAATGTTGGTTTGATGATCTGTGGCCATGTGCATATGGTATGTATGTATCAGTTTTGTTTTCTATAGTAAGACTTTTTTTCACTCATCAAACGGATTGTAAGTTACAGACTTTATAGATTGGAAATCATTAGCAAATTTGTAGGATTTTTTTTTTTTGAGATTTTTCTTCAAAATGTTCCTTTAAACAGTCACAAAGTAACTTGGTTTTTCAAGACAGGGTTTCTCTGTGGCTTTTGGAGGCTGTCCTGAAACTAGCTCTTGTAGACCAGGCTGGTCTCCAACTCACAGAGATCCACCTGCCTCTGCCCCCCCCCCCCAGTGCTGGGATTAAAGGCATGTGCCACAAAGTAACATTTTTAAAAAGATCTAGATATTTTGAACTGTTGTGATTTTAACCAGGAGTATGAAAATTATCTAAAAATAATAAGTTTTTACCCAAAAAGTAGTGCTTTAAAAAAAAATCATTTTGGATCTTGAAAATAGTTGTGAAATGATGCCAAAACTGTGTTCGTAAGAAACTGCCCCCCCCCCTTTTTTGTGGCACATCTTGGCCAACAGTGTCAAGGTGTAGCTGAAAAATCTCCTTCATGGCCATCGGCTTTTGGAAACTCATTGAAGTGGACAACAAACTTGGTACTTTCTGTGAGGAGCACATGGTCACAGAAGTAGCTCTGATGCTTTTGGAAGGGTTTTGTGGTCCACATCAGTGGGAATGACAGAGTTTTCCTATGATGCAAGGTGTCTTAATCCACAGCAGAGTTGAGCTACTATTGAGTGGGTGGGCATTCCTGTTATAGATGAAGGAGAATTTTGGAGAGGGGAAGCAGTCTGTTTGAGGTGCACCATGGATGCCAATCTAAGGGTTCTCTTTTTACAGTTGATTACTGTAAAAAGGAGAGAGATATTCCTAGATGATAATTATTGTGCCTCAGCATCTGGGGCCCAAAAGAGCTAGCAGAACCTGAAAACTTTTCAGTCTCTCTAAAAAAAGATGATGTCTGCAAATGTTTTGTCAGAAAGCCCTTAAAGAAGGTAGGAAGCCAAGATCAAAGCAGCCAAGATTCAACATCAAGTTACTTCACGAATATTGTAAGACAAATGCCAGTGCATTGCACTGAAGAAACAATACAATAAGGAAATGAGAGGCTGCAGAATATGCTAAACATTTGGCCAAGAGAATGAAGGGAAGCCAACAAAAAATACCAGGAACAGATTGCCAAGAGATGTAGGTTGTCCTCGCTGATAATTTCTACTTGTGTATCTGAGTCCAGTTAAAAATAAGTCTTTTAAGAGTAACAAATAAGTGATAGGACTTGGGGGGGGGCAGGTAAGAAAAGAAAACCTAGGGTATTATTTTTGTTTTTTTCCCCAAACTCTGCTTCATTATTTAGGTGCCAGAATGTGTGTTGTACATTGTATTGCAACTCCTGTAACAGTTGCTCTTCGTATATAGTTGCAAAGCCAAGGCCACAGTTATTCATGTGCACACACTTGGGTTTGTGTGTGGAGGGCTTGTTTTCAGCATTGCACACACTTGGTTTGTGTGTAGAGGGCTTGTTTTCAGCATTGACCCCCACTTAAACTGGAATACTCCATATACCCTGTTTCTAGTCTGATCTCTTGAAGTCAGTACCTTGTGCAGAAGATGCTAGAAAAAAGGCAATTACCATTCTTAGGAAAGATTATGTTTTTCTCTATATACTTACTTTTTATTTTCATAATGTATTCATTTTTATTTTATGTGCATTGGTGTTTTGCCTGTATGTATGCCTGTGTACAGATGCCAGATCCCCTGGAACTACAGACAGTTGTGTACTGCCACATGGGTGCTGGCATTGAACCTGAGTCTTCTGGAAGAGCAGCCAGTGCTCTTAACCACTGAGCAATATCTACATCCCTCGGCATACTTATTTTTAAGATATATGCTTTTAAATACTTCCACATTTTTGTTTTACAAATTTGTGCCTAACAAATTTCATATGCTACATAAAAGTATCAAAGTGGAATTTTGAGCTAGCAAAGCTCATTTCCTTTTGTCTTATAACAGAAATATATGCTTACTGATTTCACTGATACTCTCAAGTTAGTGTGATTTAATAACCTAGACACTTAGACCAAACAGAAAGCAAACTAGGAAACTTCCTGTAGAGAAATAGAAGGCTTTACTTTGTGTTGTGTAATCTTTTTTCCATTTTCAGTAATTGCAAATTTCTCTCATTAATTTAGGATTGAAATACTTTGTTTTGAAATCTTTTTTTCTTCCCTTCTCCAGGCACCAGCAGTGCTCTGCCTTTTTGTATAATCTTAAGTATTAGAGAGAATTCTCTCAGGGCGAATGAAAGACTGTTATTTCACTTCTCCCACCTCAACATTTAAGCACATTCTTTCAAACCACATGTAAGAGGATACCTTTTCTAAAGGGATTGTGTTTCAAATAAAAATTTTGTTAATATTTTAAAGGGCCCTCGAAGAAACAAAATGAAGGCTCTCTAGTCTCAAGTTCATGCAGATGACTTGAGAGAAGGTGCACAGTATTTGATGCAGGTGACGAGTCTTTTCACATAGCTGCATAAAGCTTTTGTGTTTTCTATTTAATTATTCATGGTAATAGAAATGTGTATCATTTTTAATACCTTTAAGGAAACTACTAAATTTTTTTGTAATTTAGAAATCTGCAGAAATTTTGTGGTGTGAAGTGATACAAAAGGCCTATTTGAAAATTATCTTAGTCCATTAATCTCTTTCTGTTAGATATTTCTCACCTTTTCTACCTACTAGGTTTGTTTTTAAAACTTTGAGCTATAGCCATCTTTATTTTGGCTTTTCAAAATTTCTTGGCTTTTGTATTTCTATTTATTTGCTAGTTATAAGCTTAGACTTTATGTATTCTATAGGCACCACAATAGGAAATTTAAAATCAGTCCCAGGTTTAAATGTTAGTGCTGTTGCTTTCTTGATTTGGATTTTGGATCAAACTGTTTACTTCTGAACTCTATTCTTACTGTCCTGAAGATAATAGGGAGATATAAATTGAGATAATGTTTACCAACTTAATCAAAAAAAAAAAAAACATTGAAAGTGAAAACAGCTCTGACTGGAACTATCTGTTAAAGATGAGATGAGGCTCCCAGCACTGTCCTGAGCCCATCCTGTTGCAGGCATCCTAGAACTTAGTTCGGAATAATCCACACAGTCTTTAGGAAGGACAAGCAGTGAGAAGGTTAAGTAACTATGACACTGTTATATGGAAATTGCTATAATTCAGTGATGGCAGAAAATAGAAGAAATAGAGGCCGCTCACAGAAAATTTACTGTGTGATACAAGCAGCTTTCAGAAGGTTGTTTGTAATAATAGCTGTTTATGAAAACGTAATGAAATAAATCCTTGTGAAGAAGGCTATGCAAAAGCCATTTTGAAGCAAGGTTTGATATAGGCCTATATAATCCCAGTGCTTGGGAGGCTGAGGATTGCCATTGAAGACCAGGCTGGGATACATGGTGAGAACAGGCCTTCCATGGCTACAAAACAGAAAGAGAGCCAGATACAGTGGTGCACAGCTGCAGGCTCAGCACTTTGGAGGGTGGGGATTATCCCATGCTTTTGGCCAGCTTGGTCTATGCAGTGAGCTCCGGGCCAGCCAGGATTACATAGTGAGACCTTGTCTTAAGTGAAAATTGAAACAAAACTATTGTTTTTAAGGTGGATTAAAGGTCTAGAGATAAAATGCAACTTTTAAAAATTAGGAGAATATATAAGACATTCAGAGAATAATTTCCTAAGTCAAGTCCAAAAATAGATAGGACTGTGAAAAATGTCAGTAATCTTTTAAAAGGTTAATGCCTTAAGGATTTTAAAGGAAATACAAACATGAAGAAAAGCTCCAGAACATGGGAACATAAGAATTCTGAAGTGTAAGCAGGAAAAATACAGTGCAGAATGTGTCCTTAAGTAGTGTAAATCAGTAAATGGGACAGGGAGAAGAGTGAAAGATAGGAATAAAAGAGGAAAGCTAGACGACAGGAATAAATTAAAAGCAATTCTGCACCCATATGGACCAGGATCACTTCTGCCAGATAAAGAGAAATTGTACATTTTTAAACTGTTGTGGTAATTCATGCCATCATCACTATTGGACAAGAACCTGGCTTCATGCATATACCTCTACCCATGTAGAGAAGACAGCAGTTTTAAGTTCCAAGCACAGAAATCTTTTGAATGGTTAATCCGGGCAGTCTAATTAACTCCTAAAGCAGGGTATCGATAGAGCCTTTGGTTGTCTCTCAGGGACTGAGGGTGGACCTTTATTGCTGTTGACACCATACACTTAGGATGTGGGACCTAGTGATTTGATTTGGGTCTGACCCGAAAGCCTCTTTTCCTGCAGTCTAGCTTCCATGGTTTGAGAAAACACTATATAAGATGCTAAGGGAGGGAAGCTATTAAATATTCAACACAACAACATCTATGAAATGTGACAATTTACCAGCATGACAAGGTATGCATAAGGGCACTCACCTGTTGGAGGCAACCAACAGTTGTCTAATTAGATGTAAGGTCTACTTATCAGGAGGGAAATCGTACCTGTTACTGGAAACCTAGCTAGCTTATTTAGGCTAGTGAGTCGATGGACCTTAGAAAAGAATCCATCATTGCCACTTGGCAGCATCATTTGTAGTAGCTAAACACAATTATAATTAGTTTCAGCCAACATCACATAATTAAAATGTGAGATGTGTCATTCTAGAATTCTGCATACAAATGAAAAGAACTGAGTAGTTCAGGTGTCAATACTGTGCCTGGTTGTGACATTGTTCGTAATAAGTTAATCCTGTCAGCTTTTGTAAATCTTAAGAAACATTTTAATAACTACTTATATATGTAATAATTTTTATAGAGGAATGTCTTCCTTATAGAAAACAGACTAGAGCAGATTTCTGATTTCCTCTCACAGTGAAATAGGTTTGTGGTAAGGCCCAAGAGTAACCTAGTGATGCAAGTTACTAATGTTACTGCCACTAGTCTCTCTCTGGAATTGCATTGCCTCAGAAGTCAGAGAACCACTGCCCTAGAAAGCTTGTGTAGTGTACAGCCTTGCAATCTGGCAAGACTTCAAAATAATCTAGTGTTTGTCATCCAACCAAAATGCCTCCATGGATTATGAAAGTTTCCTCAGCGTGGGATGAACACCGGATAAGCAGAGCAGTGTCGTTTTTTTGTAATTGCCTAGTGTGCCCGGCCACTGCAGCACTTCCTCTCTGGAAAGGTGGCAGAGCTAGCTGATAGTGTTTCTACTAATGTGCTGCTGGCTGCTTCTGCGGAGTTAGTAATTCAGGGTAAATGTCACTGGAAGTACTTTGTTTTCCCTTTTCCTTGTGGGAACCTGTCACATAAGTAATAGGTTATCTTTTGTTTTTTAAGTAGTTATCAGAAAATGTTAAGTACATGTTTTTCTTCACTGCCTTGTATTCTAGCAATGTGGTTTTAAATAGTTGATTTCTTTCAGTAGAAATACTATAAACTTCTGATTTCTCTTCTTCCTTTCTGTCTAGCTAGTCTTTATCATCAGAATTTATCATTAAACCAGCATTTGGTTTAATTACAGAATTTGATCACTACTTTGCTAATGAGATGCTAATGAGAACGTTAATAGTGAGACATTAGCATGGTTCATTTCTTCATTTATGTTTTGGGTTTTCTTTTTTCTTTTGAAAAAGGCAGTAGACATCTGATACTCAAACCCTTTTAAAACCTTTATTTTTATAGCAAAATGATAATTGTTCTTAATGAACATTCCAAGTTACATCATGATGTCTCCAGATCAATTGCTTTCTTAGAATTTCAGCCTAGAATTATCTTATGTGGCAACTGCTAAATGTTCTTAGACTTCACTGGTCAAGTGCTGAAACAGTGGGGTAATGGTGGTGGCTGTTTTTGAGACAGGGTCTTGTTGTGTCACTCTGGCTGTCCTGGACCTCATTGTGCTGACCCAACTGGCCTTGAATCATAGTGTATGGTCCTCTTGTGTCTGTTTCCTGTGCTGAGATTACAGTTTTAATCTGGCAAACAGTGTTTTTAAAACTTTTTTTTTGTTCTAGAATTCATAAACCAAAGCATTTAGGAATTATTAATAAAATTATTTAAAATGCATTTATATCCAGTTCTGTAGTTAGGCTCCAGAAGTAGATTGTGCCATGATGTATTAAGTCATGATAAAGTGAGATCAGCACCATGAGGTGACCTTTTCAACACTAACCACTTGGAATGTGTATTTAAAATCATATATATACCTCTTGTATGATTCTTAGTTTAATACATTTCTCTTGGTATTATTCAACCAAATTTGAGTAGATAGCTATAATATTTGGAAATATTTTTACCAATAGTGGAATACAAAATGAAAAGCCATATAGCCTGTTCTACTATTAACGGTTCACATGTATAAAGTGATAGAGTGAATGTGGTTAATGTCACTAAGTGACTGTGTTGTGATGTACTGCTTTCAATGATAGAATCAAACACTAATGAGGTGGTTCCTGGAAAAGATAAATTTTCAGTAGTAAACTATTTTCTTAAATGCATACTGCTTCATGGAAACTGGAAATAATACCTCTTTTGTAATAGCTACACTGAGAAAAAGATTTAAATGTGAAAGAGATACATGTGGAAATGAAAAAAAATGAGTAATCATAGGGAGAGTTACTGTAGCGATTCTATTGAATGCCTAGGTGCACAGAGTATCTCAAGGTTCCTTATTTGTAAAGTTAAAGCTTTGAGAAACTGGAACTCAGTGGTAGCATGCTTTCCTAGTTTGTGAGGCCCTGAGCTTAATCCCTAGCACCCAAACAAACAAGCTGCTTTAATTATAACAGCATTATGACATGGTAGCTTTTTATTCCACAAGAACATGGTCTTCATAGCATTTTGTACCATCAACAATTTACTGGCTATTTTGTGACTTGACTTTATGAAACACCTCTGTACTTGAAGATAATGCTTGGTTCTGTTCAACAGCATTGACTCCGCTTCCACCCAGCCCCCACCCCCCCAAAAAGTATGGGATTTCCATGGGTACACCACCCAGAAGATAAATTTGGTTTTGGAAGAAGGTGTTCTTTATTGTCCCTTTAAGGAAAGGGTTTTTTAAATACTGAGTAAAATCTTAATCTCTTAAAGATAGAAATTTGTACATGAGAATGATGAATGTAAGCTTGCAGGGTAGCTTACTTCCTGCTCCCTAATTAAAGAAATGCTTAGGTCAGTAGCACATAGCTAGGTCTTTGATAAAAATTTGAATTCATTTCATCTTTTACCAAAAAACCAAAAAACTACCATTTAAAGATGTCACTTAGAACCATAGACAAAAGCAAATTAGAATGTATCTCCAACATAAATTAGGGCTAAAACCATAAAACTTAAAGAAAACTGAACTGAATTTTACATGATCTTGGACCTGGTTGTGATCTCTTTAATGACAACCAAAAGCATGAACCTTAAAACAGAAATAAATTGGACATTTCCAGAATTAAGATGTTTTCTGCAGAGGACTTTATAGCCAGGCAGTGGTGGTGCATGCCTTTAATCCCAGCACTTGGAAGGCAGAGGCAGGTAGATCTCTGTGAGTTCAAGACCAGCCTGGTCTACAAGAGCTAATTCCAGGACAGCCTCCAAAGCCACAGAGAAACCCTGTCTCGAAAAACCAAAAATAAATAAATAAACAAACAAACAAACAAATAAATAAATGCGAAAACACCTTACTGAACTGGAGAATATTTCAATCAATATGATAAAGAATTTTGTCTTAGTAATAAGTAAGGAACTTGGTAACTGATGTTGTGATGAGACACCATGACCAAGGTAACTTACAGAAGTAACAGTTCATTGTGGGTTTGTAGTTTCAGAGGGTGAGCCCATGACCATCTTCTCAGCATGGCAGCAGGCAGGCAGGCATGGAGATGGAGCAATAGCTGAGAGCATATTTGCTGACTTACAAGCACAAGGCAGAGAGAGTGAACTAACTGGGCCTGGTCTGGGCTTTTGAAATCTTGAGGCCCACTCCCAATCACATATCTTCAAAAAGCCACACATCCTAA